AACCTGGTGAAACTCCATCTCTACTAAAAAATACAAAAATGCCAGCTGGGCATGGTGGCAGGCACCTGTAATCCCAGCTGCTTGGGAGGCTGAGGCAGGAGAATCACTTGAACCCTGGAAGTGGAGGTTGAAATGAACTAAGATGGTGCCACTGCACTCCAGCCTGGGTGACAGTGAGACTCCATCTCAAAAAAAACAAAAACAAGAGAATATAGGAAGGCAGTGGAGTGACATAAAGTCAAGTCAATCCTGTTTAATTCTCAAAAACTAAGCTTATTTCCAAGTTTAGTTTGGACTTTGCTATCACACAGTATTAACTATTGCCAAATTGAATTATTGGCATTTGCAATTTACATTGCTTTTTTTTTTTTTTTTTTTTTTAGGAATCACTGGGCCACTGGAGTCAAGGCTTGAAGATTTCTATGCAGGACCCCAAATTGCAGGTCAGAATACAATTTTGGAATTTCAATACATTTCATGTTATAAATGACCACTCCACAGAGGTCTTAATTACAAATGAAATCAAAGGATATCAGTCTTTCTGAATGAGATTCATTTTATTCGGCTATTCTGTGAGAACAAGAGGCTTTTCCCATTGGCAGTAAGGTAGCAACTGGAATTGTTTGGAGAAAAAGCTAAGTTCTTCAAATGAATATCCCCTCTGCCTGTCCCTTTTAAACTTCTGGGTACTTTAAGGGAAGTTGCATTAACCTTAGTGTGGTTCTTTTCAGGGGAGCATCAGAGAGAATATACTGTGACAGCAGTACTGTGCTGCTCTGGCATTAACAGTCAGGCGTCATCCTTGAGGAGCCCTTGAGCTCTGCTTCAGTTACATTCCTGGTTGACAAGGGGCAGGTCTAATAGAGCTCACTGGAACCCATGTGTGTGTGTCACACAGTCTGTCATGTTGGATTGGAGAAGGGTGCTTTTGAATTTATGTATGCCTACAGATATTTTACATTAGATCTTTGGGAACTATTTTATATTGTGCATCTTCTGTGTATTCTGGGTGGTGTGATGGTTGAAAACAGACTCTGGAGTCAACTAGATCTGAGTTGGAATCCTAGATTTTCCTCTTAGGAACTATGTGACTTGTGCAAGACCCTCAACCTATCTGCATCTCAGTGCGCTCATCTCTCAAAACTGGGCTACTAAAACCATTTGCCCAAGACTATGGGAATTAAGCGACTTAGTGCGTATAACAACCAGACCCACAGAAGATTCTTAGTAGATGTCTGCTTCCTTCTCTGTGTCCCTCTGCTAGGTTTACAAAGATGAGCAGGTGGTGGTGATAAAGGATAAATACCCGAAGGCCCGTTACCATTGGCTGGTCTTACCATGGACCTCCATTTCCAGTCTGAAGGCCGTGACCAGGGAACACCTTGAACTCCTCAAGCATATGCACACTGTGGGGGAAAAGGTGATTGTAGATATTGCTGGGTCCAGCAAACTCCGCTTCCGATTGGGTTACCACGCCATTCCGAGTATGAGGTAAGCCATGTGGGTAGTGCTGGTGGCCCCTGGTTCTGTCCAGGTGGGTAGATAGATTCAGCCTGAGCTTGCTGAGGGTGCTGATGGCACTGAGGCCCAGGGAAGTGGGATGGAGTTTTTCCAAAGCAGGTGGGCTGAAGCTTCCATCTCTCTGCCTGACTTGCATGCAAGCTTTGAGTTCCCACTTCTGCCTATAATTCAGTTAGATTTGGTTCTTTGTTCCTCTCAAAATATAAACCTTTGAGAGCCTAATATATGAACTAGATGAAGCAGCTTAATTATCTTCAGATGAAGAATTGTGGTCAGTGGTTTTTAGCAGATTCTTCAAAAGCATCTGTAACCCCAGAATGATTAAGGACCATTACTCTGAAGGAAACAAACATCATAGACTTCTGTAATGACAGCTTAGTAGATCCAGGATTTGAAAATAAAATAAGAGAAAAGTGTAGAGTCCGTTTTCCTGTGGCTTATGCCTAGAAGGATTCAGAAAGGAATGATTGATTCTTTTTTTTCGAAGAATACAAGCAAGATGGATCTCCATGATTCCTTTGATTTACACAATAAGATGATGAGTCCAGATTTTAGAGTTTTTATTTTGTTTTTTAAAAACTGTGATAGAATATACATAAAAAAATTCACATTTTAGCCAAGTAAAATAATTTTTCCTGTTGTGTGTACAATTCATTGGCATTACTATATTCATATTACTATGCAACCCTTAGACCATCCATCTCCAGAACTGTTTTCTCTTCCCAAACTGAAACTCTGTACCTTAAATAATAACTTTCCGTTTCCCCTCCCACTCCTGGCAGCCACCATTCTTCTTTCCTTCTCTATGAATTTGACTACTCTAGGTACCTCATATTAGTGAAATCGTACAATATTTATCCTTCTGTGACTGGCTTACTTTACTTAGCATAATGTCTTCAAGGCTCATCATGTTGTAGCATGTGACAGGATTTTCTCTGCTTATTTTTTTTTTAACTACCAGCACTCACTTTTTTTTTTTTTTTTTTTTTTTTTTTGAGACGGAGTTTCACTCTTGTTACCCAGGCTGGAGTGCAATGGCGCGATCTCGGCTCACCGCAACCTCCGCCTCCCAGGTTCAGGCAATTCTCCTGCCCCAGCCTCCTGAGTCGCTGGGATTACAGGCACACGCCACCATGCCCAGCTAATTTTTTGTATTTTTAGCAGAGACGGGGTTTCACCATGTTGACCAGGATGGTCTCGATCTCTTGACCTCGTGATCCACCCGCCTCGGCCTCCCAAAGTGCTGGGATTACAGGCTTGAGCCACCGCGCCCGGCCTCACTTTTTATTTAGGTGAATAATTATAACTTAGAGGTTACTGGCTACTTGACACAAATGAAATCTTTGTGCCAGACTTTCCCCTAGTCAATACTGATTCTTTTAAATTGAGGCATAGTTTACATATGATATGGTACATAAGATGTATGGTTTGATCAGTTTTCATAAGTGCATACAATCTTGCCACTATCATTCTGATTAAGATACAGAAGATGTCTATCCTCTCATCCCAGAAAGTTCCCTTGTGCCTCTTTCTAGTCAATCTTCCTTCAAGGATTGCTCTTATTTCCTTCAGCATAGATAATTTTTGTCTCTTCTAGAGCTACCATATATAAATGGAATCATATAATGTATACTCTTTTTTGGTTTGCCTTTTTTAGGTCTGCATAATTTTGAGATTCATGTGTATTATTGTGTATATCATGGACATGTGTACTTTATTTTTTTTTCCCTTGAGTAAATATTTAGGGATCCCAGCCTGGGCAAACATGGCAAAACCCTGTCTTTACAAAAAATAAAAAAAATTAGCCAGAGGTGGTAAAGCATGCCTGTATTCCCAGGTACTTGAGAGGTTGAGGTGAGAGGATCACTTGAGCCCAGGAAGTTGAGGCTGCAGTGAGCTGTGATAGTGCCATTATGCTCCAGCCTGGGCAACAGAGTGAGACCCTGTCTCAAAAAAGAAAAAAAAGAAAGAATAAATGTTTGAAGATGGAATTGTTAGGTCATAGGGTGGGTGTATATTGTGCCTTGCTTTAAAAATATATTTTTATTGTTAAAGCCTTATTTGAAAATCTAGGAGGGAAAGTCACCCATAATCCCATTCCCTATTGCAGAGCCCCTGGCTAACACAGCCCTTAGCCACTAAGCCCTTTTCGCATAGTGATTGATCATGGTGCTCATACCTTTTTCATATGATGAATGTTGCTGTGCTAAGGAGAATGCTTACAGCAAGAGCTGTGGTAGGCTGTGCCTTTCTATGTGAGGCAAAAGGAGCCAGTAAGCAAAGCTGTTACTCATATACCTTTTATATCACTCTCTGTGATGTAATTTTGAATAAACATGTTAGAAAGGAAAAGGTGATAAATAAGTAAAATAATTTTTCCTATTGTAAAAGTAATGTTTTCAATTAAGAAAATATAAAAAATTAAGTTTGAAGCAGAACAAAGACCTCCCATATACCACTGCTAACTAAACCGTAGACCTTATTTGAACTTCACCCATTTTTCCTGTATTGTTCTTTTTCTACTCCAGAATCCAATCTCACATTTCATTAATTTGTTCTTCCTTCTATCTCCCTCAATCTGTGACAATTCCTACTTTCCTGGCTTTCATGACTTTAAACTTTTGATGCACACTGGTTAATTGTTTTTAAGATGTCTTTTAATTCGGGTTTGTCTAATTTTTTTTCATGATTAGATTGACGTTATGCATTTTTTAAAAAAAATCACTGAAGTGATATTTCTGATTGTGCCTTTTTCAGTATATTGGGGGTGCATGATGTTGAGTTGGTTTATTACTGGTGATGTTAACTGTGATTATTTTGTTAAGGTGGTGTCTGCCAGGTTTCCATCTTCAAAGTTACTGTTTTTCTTTTATTTTTAAATTGATGAATATTTTGGGGGAGATATTTTGAGACTGTGCTACTATTTCTCCTCAAACTTGCACCCGATGATTTTAGCATCTATTGGTGCATCTTGCCTGAAATAGTTACCGTATTGTATTTACTCTTTGGTGACATTATACGTCCTTCATCTAACTTATTAGTTGAAATTATTCTGTGTGAAAGAGCTGTTGTGTCTTTCTCATTAGTTATTTATTCAATCATTTAATAGTATGGACTCATGGATTTTATTCTATAGGTTATAATTCAGTACTATAATTATTTTGTTTCTCAAATTGTTCAGCTTTGGTTATTGAAAGCCCCTTTAGGTCAACTCTTGTGTCACTTTGATATACTTCCAGCATCTTTCGGGCAATTCTTGATTTTCTGGCCCCACAAGATGTTCCAGGTTTATCTGGAATGAATCACTTCTCTAAAGAGACCTAGGTCTTTTTTTTTTTTTTTTTTTTTGGAGAATGGTATTTATAAACCAAGACTTGGGCACTAGGTTTCTGTGAGAGAAGTGGTTGATTCCAGGGTGTCCTTGCTTCTAGGTCCTTTCAGCCAATAGAGACAGAAATACATGTATGAGTCCTAACCCATACACGCAGACACACACACACACACACACGCCCTATCATTCTGTGTTTATCTACCTTTATTTGTATGTGGAAAACCATGAGTTCATACTGATATCTCTGATGCCATTCTAACTCTGTGAGTTTCATTCTTGTTTCCCTTTTTCCTTTTTTGTAACTGCTTTCCAGCAGTGAGAAACCTGGTTCTCATTACTTACAATAAATTCATTTACTTGTTCAGTCCTAGCGTACCCATGAAATAGTTACAGGATTCCTACCCATACCACTGTGAGAAAGAAACTTACTAACTAGAGTACAGTACTTGCCTGTAGTTCTTTTTGTCTTTAGCCTTTCGGTATCTAGTCAAAACACTGTTCTCCAAAGCTAGATGAGTTATTATATTTTCTTCCTCATTCCCTTTACTGTGGTTTCCTCATTCCTTTGTAATACAGCTGTGCTTATTTATTACTGCCTATATTTCATTTTGGGTTCTGCATACATACTGACTGATTTTGATTGTTTATTGGGAGAATGTGACATATTACTGATTTTAAGAGTGAAAGCTATTATACAAAAAGGCATTTTACTTGGCTTAACAAGTCCAAAAGAGCACTCTTGATTTTCTTCCCCAAACCTGCTTTTTCACCTAACCTTTTTTATCTCAGTAAGTAACACTGTCCCAAAACGTGCAGCCCATTAATAAGTTCTGTTGGTTCTATTCCAAAATGTATTCAAAATAGGATTGCTCCTTGGCATCTCAGCTGCTACAGCTCAGCTTTAGTGTAAGCTGTGATTTTTCTGGCCTAGACTGCTATAGCAGCCTCCCTAACTGGTCTCTCCATGTCCCTCCCTACTCTTCCTCCAGTACTTTCTTCACACAACAGGCAGAGTGATCTTTTAAATGTGTGAATCAGGTTGCCCCTCTGGGCTTCGTTTGTGAGGAAGGGCCCGGCCCAGCCTGGGAGCACTGAAGTTTGTTTCTTGCCATTCTTTCCATCTCAGCTTTACTCACTTCTCACCTCCAGCTGGCTAGGTGTGGGGAAGACCTGCCAGAGCCACAGAGGATGAGGTGGTTCCCGTAGCCAAGAAGATGGACAAGATGGTGCAGAAGAATATAGCTGGAGCATTGGATTTGCCAAAGGAGCTTAAAAATATTCAGCCTCTCAGGTAGCTGGGATTACAGCTGCCTGCCACCACACCTGGTTAGTTTTTTGCATTTTTAGTACAGGCAGGGTTTTACCATGTTGGTCAGGCTGGTCTCGAACTCCTGACCTCAAGCGATCCGCCTGTCTCGGCCTCCCAAAATGCTGGGATTATAGGTGTGAGCCACCCCACTTGGCCACATTTTCAAAAGAATGAATTTAAGAATAATAAAATAGGCCCACTTTTTGTGGTCTATTTTAAAATTTGTAATTCAAGTTTTTTGTTGTTTAAAAAAAGTGTAAATCAGATAATAGCACTCTTTGGTTGAAAATCCTTCAGTGGCTTCCCGGTAGATTCAGAATAGAATACAAACCCCTTGTTGGCCTTTAAGGCCCTTTATGATCTGGCTCTTGCCATGTCTCTGCTGCTTGGCTCCAACAATTCAGGCCATACATTTGGGCTATATTACCTTCTTTCTGTTTCTTGGTTGCACTGAGCTGTTCCTCATCTCAGGGCCCTTGCTCTTGGCCTCCTCACTTTCTGAGACGCTCTTCCCACAGACCTTGCTTGCCCGGCTGCTGTCTCAGTTCAAGTCACTTCCTGGGAGATGCTTTCCCTGAACACTTTTAACTAAAGAGGCAACTTCTACCCCCTGGTAGTCTATCCCATTTTCCATATTTTTTCTTAGCAATGTTAACTCTTTGAGTTTTTTTCCGTTTATTTAATTGCTTATTTATTATTTGTGTTTCCTCATTAACATACAATTTCTATAAGGGGTGAGACTTTTCCCATTTTGTTTCTTGCTAAAGTCTCAGTGTCTGGAACAGTGCTTGGCCCTGGTACATACTTACTGAGCATTAAATATTCTTAAGTAAATGAATGATTCAGTTGAATTAAATGGACACACTATCAATACAAAGAGTGTGAATACAATGTATGAATTGAGTATGGCTTAATTATTTTGATTAAGCTATAGTTGTTAAAGAGTTTAATGCCCAGTTTTTTTTCTTTCAACTAGCCATGTACACCTTCATGTGATCAGCCAGGATTTTGACTCTCCTTGCCTTAAAAACAAAAAACATTGGAATTCTTTCAATACAGAATACTTCCTAGAATCACAAGGTAAACAGTGTTCTTTGGTTTTCACATTTGTTTCATTTTCTGAGCTGTTCTTGTATTTGATTCGATTGTTTCCCTGAATAACAACCTGACCTAAAAAACCTATGTACAACTTTGTGTTCCCTATAAAGGGAGCCCTATGAAAAGAAACTGGATGATTTGGATTGTAGTATTATTGCTACTTTGCTGTGAGTTGCCTTCTTGGGGGACCTAGAAAGCTATTTTTTCAGGGTCAGTGTTTTATTGTGACAACAGGGGGCTTAAAGGCTGTTGTGAGAATTATTGGAGTTCATGGATAAGAAAGCTGTGGACCGTTCTTTGTCTCTTCTGCCATCAGTTGGGTGGGAGCTTTGGGGCTCCCTCATATCAGGAATGGTGAAATAGCAGGGGGAAGGCTTTGTATATGTAGAAGAAAGCATTTCCTGGTATGTATACTGTGGAGCTTAAGCATTGCTGGGGTGTTCACAATGGCAGCTGTCATTTATCAAGGGCCAACCAGAGGTAAAGCACTGTGATAAGCTCTTGCCAGAGTAACATGGATTGCCTAGAGTGTGTCCTGAAGGAGTGTATTATTTCAAAGGTAGGTTGCTCGTATTTATAATCTGATCAAGCTCATTTTGCCTGAGGTAAATCTAAACTCAAGCTTACAAGCTTTAGAATACCTGGCTTGGCATACTGATTGGAGTCATGGTTTTGATTTCTTTCTTTTTATTTTTTTGGTATGTCATATTGGTTTTCCAGAGTAGCTGGGACTTGACTTTTCTTCCTTGCTTGCAGCTGTGATCGAGATGGTACAAGAGGCTGGTAGAGTGACTGTCCGAGATGGGATGCCTGAGCTCTTGAGGCTGCCCCTTCGTTGTCATGAGTGCCAGCAGATGCTGCCTTCCATTCCTCAGCTGAAAGAACATCTCAGGAAGCACTGGACACAGTGACTCTGCAGAGCCTGAACTGCTGCTGCGAGTGTGGCTGATTGGAGCAAACTGCTGGCACCTATTCTGGGTTGCTTGTGAACTTCTACTCACTTCCTAAATTAAAACTTGCAGCTGTTTCTCAACATTTTTTCTATTATCGAGTGGCCACAATGTAGAGTGGCTCAAAGTAGTTCAGGAATTAGGAATTTGGGTTTGTCGTAGATGTATTCTTTGGTGAGGATGGATGGGATATACCTAACTCACCATCTTCAGGACCCATGTCAGGTCTGTCCAGTGGAGCAAAACCATGTTCACATTGATGTAATGCATAGTATGGAAGGCAGTGGGCTGGTTATATATTTCTGTTTCTTAGATTTATCCTCTACCTCTGTAGGCATAGACACCCTTTAAGCAGAGCAGCTAGAGTGGCCTCTTGTTTATCCTGAAGATACTGATGGGTCTTGTTTTCTGTTAGTCTTTTGTAATATTCTTTCCCCTTCCTTCATGGGGAGGCTTAGTTTGTCCAGTCTTTCCATGCCCTTCTATCCAGATCACCTAAATGCTCCCTTCTCAGGAATTCTGTCTCATCAGTTCTTCACTGTGAGCAAAGAAGCCACATGAGGGTGTGGGGGGTGGAGTTTTCTTCTAAATCAAGGTTCCTGGCTGGTGAGGAAACACTCAGCCACATGTTCATTATGATTCAGCTATGAAGTCGTCTTGGACCTGTTGTCTGAAAATAAAGTTAATTTGTTTGAGGCTCTCTCTTAAGTAGGTGATAACTCGAAGTTCAGCTGACAATCACAGCAGACATTCCAATGCATGAAAAGGTGGTTGGTGAATGAGAAAGTTGCACAGAGCCACTACTTTATTTTTCCCTGAGAACAAGTTTGGGTGAAACAGTTGTATTTAGTTGTTTTTTGGGATAATATTAGAACTGAAGGTGAAGGAAAAACCAAAACGTCGTTTTTGATCAAATTGTGGATGTATTTGGGGATGTGACTTTTCACTCAAATTGTGAGGAAAAAGGAAACACCCTTAACAAAAGCTTCTTCTGGAGAGAAAAAGCCCCAGTCCATAGAAACATTTGACCTCAATGTGTTTTACAAGCAAGATGCCACAGTGGTGACTTAGTGAGCATGGGTATAGTAATAATTACATAATTAATGATCATAGCAGCTCACATTTGTCCCACTCCCATATGCCCTGCATTATGCTAAACACTTTGCTCAAATTATCTTATTGAATTCTTACTGCACACAACTCTATGAGGTTAGGTACTATTGTGATGCCCCTTTAATGGATGAGGATCTAATATTCCATAATGGGTCCTGGGCACCATCCAAAATTGGTATTGATTCTGATGCATCAAACTCATTATTTTTCCTATCAGTTGAACAGTATAAACGCAAGACTAACAACAGAAGCCATAGAAGCCAGGGTCCTTGGATCTGTGCTGATCAAAAGCTTTCTGTGGTATTTCATTGATTTCCCTGAGGTCATCCAGTTCCTTTAGCACTTTTTGTCCATCTCTCACTACCCAATGTCTTTCTTCCCTTTACTCTGCTCCTTCTGCACCCCAGGAACGTAATCCTTACCTCATGAGCCCATCCATCCATAGTTCCTTCCATCTGGCTTGACGACGCTGGGCCTTTGGGCCTGCTTGATTGTCTGCTTCCTCTCCTGCAGTCGTTGTCTACATACCCTGTGGCTTCTGGAGGTTCTTCTCCAACCCTGCTGCATTTATAGCCTTTTCTGTGCAGTCATTAGCTACCAGGCACAGAAACTCTTGAAAATCATGGGCATATTAGTTAAGAACAGGCTCTGGATTCAGACCTGGGTCCCAATCCTGGCTCTGCTACTCAGAGCTGAGGGATCTTGGGCAAATTACTTATTTTCTCTGAACTTCAGAATTCACATATGTAAATGGGCATAACAGAGTTGGATTATAATGATTAAATAATCTATGTAAAGGGTTTAGCACAGTATCTGGCATGGAGAAGCACCCAATAAATGCTGACTGGAAGCCTCTGCTTTTATCTGAATGAAAGCTGGGAAGGAGGATTCACCTGATCCATGCCTGTCTCTGCATCTGAAGCCTTACCACCCCTAGTAACTTTCTAAATATGTACTCCCTGAACTCCTTAGATCAGAATTACTGGTTTCCCTTTAAAAAGTATAAGCACTTGGGCTTTACCCCAGAATTACTGAATCATAATCCTGAGGACCTAGGAATCCTCATTTAAACCATCCAGGGTGAACTTTATTTTACTGAGGTTTGGGAACCACAATATAAATGAACCTTTGGCTTCAAAGCACCTTGCATTTCTGAAGCTTCCAGATTTGGCTGTGCCCTGCCAGGACACAAATAGCATTTTTTGATTAGCTACCTGGACCTGTCATAAGCCAGCCTTCCCTCTGCTGGCTCAAGGTTATTTGAGAGTCCAGGGAGACCTCTGGCATTAGGTGAAGGGGAGTCCATCGTTATAGGGATCAGCCCTTCCTTTCTTCAGGAGTTTGACAGAGCCCCTTGGGCCCCTGGGTCTTAGGAGCCATGTCTGGAGATGACTTCCCCCTCAATGGCTCCCATTCCCTCTTCATGCCCAGAGGTCAATCCAGTGGCTTGTCTAGGACCTGTAAGGAACACTACCAGCCTTAGGCTCAGAGCGTAAGTATTTTTCCTCCTCTGGGTCTGTCTTTGAGATACCCAGGTACAAATGGTCTTTGTAAGGACCAGATCATACTTGAGGTGGTCGTTAAGGATGTCTTCTGATGTAGGGACATTTTCTAGAGCCTGGCGCCTGGCTTTTTCTTTTTTTAAAAAATTATTTTAGCAACCAAAAAACAGCATTGTAGTCCTGGCAGCTACAAATTGAAAGTTGACACTGCCCCCACCCCCAACCTGTACTGTTTGACATTTATTGGAGAAAATAACTATCATTCATTCACATTGAAGAATTAGTTGCTGGCCAAGGACCTTTTGTAGAAACTTCTCCAGAAACTAGCAAATCCTCTTACAATGCGGGTTGGAGTTGCCAGAGTCCAGAGGCACCTCCATGTCCTGAGTCACCAGATCACCAGCCTTGCTCCTCTTTCCCCAGCTGCATTCTGGAGGTAAGAGGCTGGGCCCAGGGCACAGGAGGGGGCATCTGGGGATGGCTGAAGAGCCAGTTGAGCAGCTGGATTCTTATCTACTACAAGCATTCCCTAGGTTACAAATAACATTGCTCAGAGACTAACAACTTTTTTCTGTTGCTTTCAAGAACTGGTAAAGTGGAAGATGTTCATGACAAAGCGAGAGGGTCAATAGGTCAAATGCTAAAATATGGTCCCTCCAGCTGGCCAGGCGTTAGGAAAGAGACCAAAGTTGTGGGAGGGAGGCCCCAATAGGTACCTGTATCCCCGCATCCCCACAGTAGCTCAAACCCTCTTTGTCCCCTTTATGTGAATGAGAAAAGGCACCCCCTGGAGGCAGAAGCTTTTAGCTCACACTCACTTGAGACTGAGGGCCATATAGGGTGCGACTGTACAAGCTTACAGTGTGGGATCCCTGTTTCTAATAAGGTTCTCTAGGAAAGATAGTTTTTTGGTTCTCCATCTTGTACCCAATGAAGTTAAAAGAATCTGGAAGAAAAAAGCTTCCAACAAAATTTTGTTGTATGAATGACACCTGTGTCAATACACTTGGAATGGATGTAGAAAAAACTTCTTCTGTTACATCTGAATTTGTCAAACGTATTGTCCAGTGAGTCTGTGTCTTTGCCCTTAGAAACAGTTTTTTTTTCTTTTTTTAAAAAAAATCCTTCTTTTCACAGGTGTTGACCTTTAATTTTTATTATTTAAACATTTTTTCTTGCCTTCATTTTTTCTTCAGATGACTTTGGAAACATTCTGATAAACATCTTGCTGCCAGTGTTTATGGGAAAAAGTACATCTTACAGGTTAGAATTTGTAGAACATAAGCATGTTGATATTTTTCAACAGAATGTTCCAAATTATCAATCTTTGCTAACAAAGCAAGTGATTAGGGAAATCGGGGTTTTCTGTACTTTTTCTATGAATTGTCTATTTTTGGGGCCTTCCATGTTTGGCCACCAGATGGCAGCATTTGAACAATAAATTTTTAATTGTCTTTTACAAGACAGCTGTTTCTGAAGCCCTTTTATATATCTTATGTTTCCAAATCAATACTTCAAAATAAAATATATAAGGGGCTTTTAAAATAAGACTGATGTGTGTTTAACAGATCTCCTAATTAAGATAGAAGTTTGAGGGAAAACCAGTGTGTGGGTAAAAATACGAAACATACACTATTGACCTGGAGGATCTCTGTTGGACTGAGAGGTGAAATAGGCTCTAAAGTTGGCTGGAAGCTGGGCTCGGTGGCTCATGCCTGTAATCCCAACACTTTGGGAGGTCGGGGCTGGCAGATCACTTGAGGTCAGGAGTTCGAGACCAGTCTAGCCAACATGGCAAAACCCCATCTCCACCAAAAATACAAAAATTAGCCAGGTGTGGAGGCATGTGCCTGTAATCCCAGCTACTTGGGAGGCTGAGGCATGAGAATTGCTTCAACCCAGGAGGCAGAAGTTGCTGTGAGCTGAGATTGCACCATTGCACTCCAGCCTGGCGACAGAGCAAGACTCTGTCTCAAAAAACACACAAACCCAACAAAACATTCTTTCTATTAAAAAAAAATAATAATAAAGTTGACTACAGCCAAGGTTGAAGCCTGATTCTGGCACTCATGAAATGGGTCTTGGGGCATGTCAAATGCATGGTAGTTGTTGAAAATATGCTGGCAAATTTTCTTAATTTGACCCCAACGTAGTAACTGTTGTTCTCATTGCAAGAGGACCTGGGAGTCACACTGGAAGCAGACACTTCTTTTGGGCATATTCTTCAAAAGTGGCATCATTTTTACATCGATAATTGTTTTTTTTTTTTTTTGAGACGGAGTTTCGCTCTTGTTACCCAGGCTGGAGTGCAATGGCGCGATCTCGGCTCACCGCAACCTCCGCCTCCTGGGTTCAGGCAATTCTCCTGCCTCAGCCTCCTGAGTAGCTGGGATTACAGGCACGTGCCACCATGCCCAGCTAATTTTGTGTAGTTTTAGTAGAGACGGGGTTTCACCATGTTGACCAGGATGGTCTCGATCTCTTGACCTCGTGATCCACCCGCCTCGGCCTCCCAAAGTGCTGGGATTACAGGCTTGAGCCACCGCGCCCGGCCTACATCGATAATTGTTAAGTCGCTGGTGGTCAGATATTAGAGGAAGCACTGTCAAAGCAGGATGGTCAATACACTGAGGTATTAGGTAAAGTAAAGCCTGTGTCTGCATTTTCCATGGGTCAGCTTCTCCGCAAACCTTCTTTTGTTAGAAGAACCTAGCTTCATCTATTTTCCAGTTCTGCCAAGCCTTCTGTCTTTTAAGGAGGCAGAATAAAAGCCCCAATGCCAAATAGTACAGAATATTAAAATTGAAAAGGACTTTATATACCAGGGCTCCTGACGTTTTGAGGGAGTTGTAGATCCAGAATTTGGTGAAGACGATATCCCCCTTCCCATATGTTTTGCATGTAATTTCAAAAGGGGCACTCCAAAAATCAATAATCCATGGATTAGCTAGGGCAGATCTTCTCAGCTGGTGTGTGTGTGTGTGTGTGTGTGTGTGTGTGTGTGTGTGTGTGTGTGTATCCCCTAGACTCTAATTATTTTGAACCAACTGGCAGACCTTTTTTCCAAACTACACATAGACAGTCGCTCTGCTACCACTGGACATCTAATTTCTCCAGTGCTTTGGGGCAGACAAACTAATCTTTTGCCTGGAGAATCTGTCAAAACTCTTTATTCTAGCAGCCTCTGATGTTCCATTGAGGGATTTGAAACATAGAAGTGATTG